TGTCTGTCTCACCTGTCTGTGTCTCACCTGTCTGTCTCACCTGTCTGTGTCTCTCTGTCTGTCTCTCACCTGTCTGTGTCTCACCTGTCTGTCTCACCTGTCTGTGTCTCACCTGTCTGTGTCTCACCTGTCTGTCTCACCTGTCTGTGTCTCTCTGTCTGTCTCTCACCTGTCTGTGTCTCTCTGTCTGTCTCTCACCTGTCTGTGTCTCACCTGTCTGTCTGTAGGTAGCCCTGTCCTGATTGGTTGCCATGGTGCCCAGGCCGTCGTCAGGGGAGCTGTGGGGGCTCCACCTGATGCCCCCCCGCATCCAGGTGGACTGCTGCCTGCCCAACGGTAACACTGACTCATTATTCAAAATGCTGAATCATAATGCTGACTCATGTCTCTGTGCTGACTCATGTCTCTGTGCTGACTCATGTCTCCGTGATGACTCATGTCTCTGTGATGACTCATGTCTCTGTGATGACTCTTGTCTCTGTGCTGACTCATGTCTCTGTGATGACTCTTGTCTCTGTGCTGACTCATGTCTCCGTGCTGACTCATGTCTCTGTGATGACTCTTGTCTCTGTGCTGACTCATGTCTCTGTGCTGACTCATGTCTCTGTGATGACTCTTGTCTCTGTGCTGACTCATGTCTCTGTGATGACTCTTGTCTCTGTGCTGACTCATGTCTCTGTGATGACTCTTGTCTCTGTGCTGACTCATGTCTCCGTGCTGACTCATGTCTCCGTGATGACTCATGTCTCCGTGATGACTCATGTCTCTGTGCTGACTCATGTCTCTGTGCTGACTCATGTCTCTGTGCTGACTCATGTCTCTGTGATGACTCATATCTCTGTGCTGACTCATGTCTCTGTGATGACTCATGTATCTGTGATGACTCATGTCTCTGTGCTGACTCATGTCTCTGTGATGACTCATGTCTCCGTGATGACTCTTGTCTCTGTGCTGACTCATGTCTCTGTGATGACTCATGTCTCTGTGCTGACTCATGTCTCTGTGATGACTCATGTCTCTGTGCTGACTCATGTCTCCGTGATGACTCATGTCTCCGTGATGACTCATGTCTCCGTGCTGACTCATGTCTCTGTGATGACTCATGTCTCTGTGATGACTCATGTCTCTGTGATGACTCATATCTCTGTGCTGACTCATGTCTCTGTGATGACTCATGTCTCTGTGATGACTCATGTCTCTGTGCTGACTCATGTCTCTGTGATGACTCATGTCTCTGTGATGACTCATGTCTCTGTGATGACTCATATCTCTGTGCTGACTCATGTCTCTGTGATGACTCATGTCTCTGTGATGACTCATGTCTCTGTGATGACTCATGTCTCTGTGATGACTCATATCTCTGTGCTGACTCATGTCTCTGTGATGACTCATGTCTCTGTGATGACTCATGTCTCCGTGATGACTCTTGTCTCTGTGATGACTCATGTCTCTGTGATGACTCTTGTATTTGTGCTGACTCATAATGCTGACTCATGTCTCTGTGCTGACTCATGTCTCTGTGATGACTCATATCTCTGTGCTGACTCATGTCTCTGTGATGACTCATGTCTCTGTGATGACTCATGTCTCTGTGCTGACTCATGTCTCTGTGATGACTCATGTCTCTGTGATGACTCATGTCTCTGTGATGACTCATATCTCTGTGCTGACTCATGTCTCTGTGATGACTCATGTCTCTGTGATGACTCATGTCTCTGTGCTGACTCATGTCTCTGTGATGACTCATGTCTCTGTGATGACTCATGTCTCTGTGATGACTCATGTCTCTGTGCTGACTCATGTCTCTGTGATGACTCATGTCTCTGTGATGACTCATGTCTCCGCGATGACTCTTGTCTCTGTGATGACTCATGTCTCTGTGATGACTATTGTATTTGTGCTGACTCATAATGCTGACTCATGTCTTTGTGATGACTCATGTCTCTGTGATGACTCATATCTCTGTGCTGACTCATGTATTTGTGCTGACTCATAATGCTGACTCATGTCTCTGTGCTGACTCATGTCTCTGTGCTGACTCATGTATTTGTGCTGACTCATAATGCTGACTCATGTCTCTGTGATGACTCATATCTCTGTGCTGACTCATGTCTCTGTGATGACTCATGTCTTTGTGCTGACTCATGTCTCTGTGATGACTCATGTCTTTGTGCTGACTCATAATGCTGACTCATGTCTCTGTGATGACTCATGTATTTGTGCTGACTCATAATGCTGACTCATGTCTCTGTGCTGACTCATGTCTCTGTGATGACTCATGTCTTTGTGCTGACTCATAATGCTGACTCATGTCTCTGTGCTGACTCATGTCTCTGTGATGACTCATGTCTCTGTGATGACTCATGTCTCTGTGATGACTCATGTCTCTGTGATGACTCATATCTCTGTGCTGACTCATGTCTTTGTGCTGACTCATAATGCTGACTCATGTCTCTGTGCTGACTCATGTCTCTGTGCCGACTTGTATCTCTGTGATGACTCATGTATTTGTGCTGACTCATAATGCTGACTCATGTCTCTGTGCTGACTCATGTCTCTGTGATGACTCATGTCTCTGTGCTGACTCATGTCTTTGTGCTGACTCATAATGCTGACTCATGTCTCTGTGCTGACTCATGTCTCTGTGCTGACTCATGTCTTTGTGCTGACTCATGTATTTGTGCTGACTCATAATGCTGACTCATGTCTCTGTGCTGACTCATGTCTCTGTGCTGACTCATGTCTCTGTGCTGACTCATGTCTCTGTGCTGACTCATGTCTTTGTGCTGACTCATAATGCTGACTCATGTCTCTGTGCTGACTCATGTCTCTGTGCTGACTCATGTCTCTGTGCTGACTCATGTCTCTGTGCTGACTCATGTCTCTGTGCTGACTCATGTCTTTGTGCTGACTCATGTCTTTGTGCTGACTCATAATGCTGACTCATGTCTCTGTGCTGACTCATGTCTCTGTGCTGACTCATGTCTCTGTGCTGACTCATGTCTCTGTGCTGACTCATGTCTTTGTGCTGACTCATAATGCTGACTCATGTCTCTGTGCTGACTCACGTCTCTGTGCTGACTCATGTCTCTGTGCTGACTCATGTCTCTGTGCTGACTCATGTCTTTGTGCTGACTCATAATGCTGACTCATGTCTCTGTGCCGACTTGTATCTCTGTGATGACTCATGTCTTTGTGCTGACTCATGTCTCTGTGCCGACTTGTATCTCTGTGATGACTCATGTCTCTGTGCCGACTTGTATCTCTGTGATGACTCATGTCTTTGTGCTGACTCATGTCTCTGTGCCGACTTGTATCTCTGTGATGACTCATGTCTCTGTGCCGACTTGTATCTCTGTGATGACTCATGTCTTTGTGCTGACTCATAATGCTGACTCATGTCTCTGTGCCGACTTGTATCTCTGTGCTGACTCATGTCTCTGTGCTGACTCATGTTTAGGGATGATGGTGAGTCTGGAGTGCCTCAGAGAGACTCCTCTGCTCAGCATCAAACAGCAGCTGTTCACTGAGGCCAGGAAATACCCACTGTCTCACCTTCTGCAGGTACCTGTCTCACTGCTGTCTCACCTGCTGCAGGTACCTGTCTCACTGCTGTCTCACCTGCAGCAGGTACCTGTCTCACTGCTGTCTCACCTTCTGCAGGTACCTGTCTCACTGCTGTCTCACCTGCTGCAGGTACCTGTCTCACTGCTGTCTCACCTGCAGCAGGTACCTGTCTCACTGCTGCAGGTACCTGTCTCACTGCTGTCTCACCTGCTGCAGGTACCTGTCTCACTGCTGTCTCACCTGCTGCAGGTACCTGTCTCACTGCTGCAGGTACCTGTCTCACTGCTGTCTCACCTGCTGCAGGTACCTGTCTCACTGCTGCAGGTACCTGTCTCACTGCTGTCTCACCTGCTGCAGGTACCTGTCTCACTGCTGCAGGTACCTGTCTCACTGCTGTCTCACCTGCAGCAGGTATCTGTCTCACTGCTGCAGGTACCTGTCTCACTGCTGTCTCAGCTGCTTCAGGTACCTGTCTCACTGCTGCAGGTACCTGTCTCACTGCTGTCTCAGCTGCTTCAGGTACCTGTCTCAGTGCTGCAGTACCTGTCTCACTGCTGCAGCTACCTGTCTCACTGCTGTCTCACCTGCTGCAGGTACCTGTCTCACTGCTGCAGGTATCTGTCTCACTGCTGTCTCACCTGCTGCAGGTACCTGTATCACTGCTGCAGGTACCTGTCTCACTGCTGTCTCAGCTGCTTCAGGTACCTGTCTCACTGCTGCAGCTACCTGTCTCACTGCTGTTTCACCTGCAGCAGGTATCTGTATCACTGCTGCAGCTACCTGTCTCACTGCTGTCTCACCTGCAGCAGGTATCTGTCTCACTGCTGCAGGTACCTGTCTCACTGCTGTCTCACCTGCTGCAGGTACCTGTCTCAGTGCTGCACTACCTGTCTCACTGCTGTCTCACCTGCAGCAGGTATCTGTATCACTGCTGCAGCTACCTGTCTCACTGCTGTCTCACCTGCAGCAGGTATCTGTCTCACTGCTGCAGGTACCTGTCTCACTGCTAGGGATGGGTACCGAGCCCCGGTATTAAACGGGCCCTGGGGCTGAATTATTAAAGACCGTGGTACCGTTAAGCTCCGACGTTATCGGTCTTTTTATCGGTACTAGAGACATCTAAAAAATATGTCATGTGTATTATTGCTACACAAACATTATATTGCAGTTTTAGTGTCGCCAACTCCGTTTCTAATACGCAAGAAGACTGCAAAATGCGTCATTTTTAGTATTTTCGATCTCTCCAATCCAGACGAGAGATCTCTCTCCCCCGCCTGCTTGCGAGGGGGCGGGGCAGTTTACACACACACAGCTGCTACATGCAGCAACACACACACAGCTGCTACATGCAGCAACACACACACACGGAGGAGATGGCGGAGAGAACGCGCTCCGAGGTGTGGTTAAACTTTACCCGTCTCGCGCTCGTTGCC